TTAACACATCGATGGTCAAACATTATTTTCAACTGTGTGCTAATTAAGGTATAGGGTGTTTTGCATAAATTAACTCTACCCAGATTGCATCGCAAAAAATTTGGCCATTGATTTTTGTTACTATTAATAGCAATCTCGCTCAAATCCCGTTTCAATCACAGTTGGAAGTACGGGGACAACGTGATCGCCTTACTACATAGCGGGTTGCACACTTCGTCTAGTAATGGACTTCTGATAAAACCCATACCACAGTCCTCTATAAAAGGCTCAGAAATGACAAATGTAAAACAATTCAAGCGAGAAAAATAACGGCCTGATTTATGTACAAAATAATAAACAAAAACAAATATGATATACAGCAACAAACGACAACCACTTAATTGCAGGCTCCCGACTTGGGACAGGCACATATAGAATGTGGAAGGGTTAGACTAGTTTGAAGGCGCCAACCCTCCCCTAACCTGGGACTTTGGTGTAACAGTACAACATAAGAACAAACTATAAAAATCAGTTGAAAAGGGTTAAACTCATCAGATGGATACAAAGCAGAAATACATCTAACATCTAACAAAAACACAGAGTCGACTTGGCAGGGTACTTAAACATCCCCACAACAAAAAGAAAAAATCTGAGAGTACTGACAGCTAGTTCAGCCAATTACAAAGAATTAACAAAAATCATGCTTCTGAGACTAAAATAGGTCATTTATAAACAAAAATCATATAAATTTTAAAGTATTATTCATAGAAATATTTAATGTATGAGCAAATCAATAAGCGAAAATACAGGGAAATTAAAGATAGACTCTCCAACCTAAAGCTCCGACACAAGAACGTAGAGATTTCAACAGTTCAGTTTGTAGATGCTGTTTCATACCTCCTTCGTTTGGACTTAATTAACAATACTTGTAGTATACTTGTGATGGCACTATGTGACTATTCATGTTTTAAATTTCAAAGACATGCATGCTTTATTTATTTGTGATTGTGACAAGTGCTTTGATGTTTTTGTGCTTATTTCTTATCTTGAATATTATCTATATTCTTGATCAATTGAACACGAATAAATATATATTCAAAGATACAAAGATTTGATTAGTAAATTTGGCTTTGAATATAGTTTACATTGGCACTAATATCGATTTTGTCATCAGCAAATTAAAACATAACTAAATTTGTATTCTTTTCAAACGGGATGTATAAAGACACACCCATGTTCATTTTGATCTTAAAGAGGTTAACTCCTAATTAGCCTACTGTCTGTCGATACATTTATTTTTGGCATTGCACAAGTCATGTCTTCTTTGACTGTCCATGACGTTAAAATACTAAATCCCTGAGATGTGTTTTAGTTGATTTTAGTCTCTGATGCATGATTTTTTATTATCAATTGCGAGTACTCTCAAATCGTACTTTCTTGTTTATGACCTGTTGATACTAATTGTATTGCTTTTTTGTTATTTAATGTTATTCAGGGTTATATCTGGTCTATATACCAGCTTTGATAAGTGTTTGGTATTACTGTAAATTTTCACTTCTTCGTACTATGAACATCAAAATTATTTATTTTGTAAAAATATTTCCTTTCTCTATCTGAACTGTACGCGTATACCTAGCAACAAAATTATTTTTATTTACATGTGTTTAAAGTAATTGCAAATGGCTGATATTTTTGTTCAAGTATATTGTTTTTCTTAAATTGTTTAACATTTCACAGCGATATAACATGTTACTTTAATTATTCTTCCATTGGTTTATTTATTTTGTATTTGCATTGTATCATAGATCAAATTTATTTGTTCAGTGTATGTTCACCGGTGTTAATATGTCTTTTGATTGAGTTAAGCCATTTCAATTGATATTTTAACGTGTGTTTTTCTATGTTGTGATGTTACACTATTGTTTCAGATAAGGGTGAAGGTTTGGTACCATTAAAACGTTTAAACCCGCTGCAATTGTTTGCACCTGTCCTAAGTAAGGAATCTGATGTTCAGTAGTTGTCGTTTGTTGATGTGGTTCATAAGTGTTTCTCGTTTCTCGTTTTTTATATAGATTAGACCGTTGGTTTTCCCGTTTGAATGGTTTTACACTAGTAATTTTTGGGGCCCTTTATAGCTTGCTGTTCGGTGTGAGCCAAGGCTCCGTGTTGAAGACCGTACTTTGACCTATAGTGGTTTACTTTTATAAATTTTGACTTGGATGGAGAGTTGTCTCATTGGCACTCATACCACATCTTCTTATATCTATTCCTTATATTAGTTATCTTTCGTTGACATTTATTGAGCTGTCAAAGAAGAGTGTTTTTATAATTCCTTAACAAAATTCATTTTAAACAAACAGAAAAAATACAAAATATCAATTTATTGCAAACAAACAGGAAAATCAAAAAAATTACCTGGAATTTTAATGTAGAAACTCAGCTTAGTTACCTGCACAGATTTTAATTACTGTTTGTTTTGACTACACTTTATTTTAATAAGACACTATTCCTTGAATGCCTACATCTTTTTACCTCTATTTCGTCGGTAGATAAAAAGGTGTAGGCATTTAAGGAATAAACTCTGTCACCATCAAGACATGATTAAACTCTAGGATTTTAGTTGGGACCAAGTTGCCATGGCGGTCGAGTATAACAAAATTTCAGGTCATAGTACATTGAATTGACGGACAATTTGACGACAAATAATCCAGTGATGCGTGGTCTTGTTACATGAAAATATACTAGTAAATCGATTAATCTATTGTTTATTATAATTCCTTTCTGGGCGAATATCTACATGTATATCGTTTATAAAATACATGATTCGAATATTCACATAGAAAAATGTTAGGCACACGGGCACTCTCGGTAAATCACTTTCACAAGTTACTGTAAATGGATTTCATTACATTCCGTATAACGAAATTAAGCAACAGTGTCCAATACTGTGCACACAAAAAAACACGCATAGTGTCCAATACTGTGCGGACAAAAACCACCCAACAGTGTCCAATACTGTGCGGACAAAAATATCAAAAATAATAGTAATTCCGTATCTATCAATGATCTGCCAAGATCTGCCGAATCTCCAAAATCTGCCTACAATAACAAAAATCTGAACCTTATATACAAAATGCCACCAAAAATGCACCAAAAATTTAACCTAAATTTTTACTGACCTAAATTGCCACCAAGTATGCACCAACTATGCACCAAACCTATTAATATATATATCTGCCTATGTGTAGAGTCAACTGTAAATTATACCTTGTTCATCGGATTTCTTATGAGTAAGAGTGCCTATAGAAAATTAACCCTTACAATGTTAGAGTAGATCTGATTCTTTACTTCCTCCCCGAGCGGGGCTGGAACCTGCACTGCCTAGCATTGCGCAGACACCTTATGCCTTCCTCTAACTATTGCTGATAAATATATATATATATATATATATATATATATATATTCAACCTATTTTGACTCCTCAAAATTCAAGAGTCTATCCTAAATTGAGGTAAATTGTATGGCTTTCCAAATACTGTTTCGATTCCTAACATCACTGAAGAGACATTAATTGTCGAAATCTGGATATGGTGTACAAAAAACCTTTGCAATTTGTTTGCGGTATATCATCTTTTCCGCAAGTTTATATATATAACTCTACTTAAACTAATTAACACATGCTAAAAGGCCATGCCCTCTATAATAATGTCTTATTTACACTCTTTCAAAATCAACTTCCCTTTCTATCTGATTAAAATACAGATCTTGTGCCCACCCTTCGCTTAAGCTAAGGATTGACATATGATCTGTATATTAATCAGGTTGTAACCATTGACTTATATAGTTAAGCAGACACTTTATTTCACAAAATATTACACAATTCAATACACAATTATTGACCTTAATAGTACATGTATATGTTAGATATAGAAATGATAGATTTTTAATTTTTTTTTTACCTATTACTTCGTATATACACTTTATAGAATTATTTTGTAAATAATGTCTTTAAGGTGAATGATTAAAGATAACAAAGATGTATTTTTTTCCTCAAGAAATCAAAAAAATATTTAAAATTTAAAACTGTATAAAAAAATGCCAAGTAGGGATATTTTATTTCTTAAATCAACGCCATAATCTCATCTGTAGTTAATACATAATTAAGTTTAAAATTATCAGTGAATTGCTTGAAACATTAAGGAAAATTGTATAACCGGACGACCATGTGATTTTCTGGAGGGGACAGGAGGACTTTGAAAAGGAACGAATTTGCACAAGATAGGATGAAAATGAATATTCTGCAACACAAAATACAGGAAACAAATGTGTACAACAGGGAGCAAAGCCGCTGAAAAGAATAATCATGCATAGCAACAGATGAAAAATAAATGATTAATCAGGAAAAACCCTCCCCTCCCCCCCGAATATCAAATGGTTGTTCCCCAACTATAATATGAGCAAATTTGTTTTTAAAATGCATGTGTTTTTATCCTTCATTAAATTTCTTTTTGTACACTTGAATCATACTCAGTAACTTTATTTTATTGTTGTATATTTAAATATTATAATTGTTATCAAAATATCTCATAGTAATTTTCAAACCAATTTTTTCCTTTAGCTTTCTTTAACATCCTATGGGGTCAGATGGAGTGTGTGCTTTGATCACAGGTACGAGGATAGATTACATATTTTTAAAAATCGTCTCGTAACTGTGGGTTTGATGGCACACATTCTCAGATTTAAATGAACATACTATTTTCATAACGTACAACCCTTTACAATAGGGATAAAAGTTTAAATTTGTCAACTATTTTACTAAATTACACGGTTGAATTAACCTCACATAATTTGAAAGGGTGAATAATTAGAATTTTAAAAGTGTACCATGGTCGTTTTAAAGGCCAAAAAGTTGTGAATCAATTGTAATGTAACGTGATCGATACGTGACACGTCCTATTTATAGAAAAATGTGAATCAAACATGTGATTTATAAACAGGTAGTTGTATTATAGATTTAGACTAGAACCCGTTAACATGGATGTAGTACATGTGAAAGTTTTAATTCTCTTTGGACTATTAGTAGCTTCATTTCTGGTAGGATTTATTCCAGTGAAATGTATCTATCACTACAGAAGGAACTTAGAAACATCAACAGTGTATCGTCGTTTATTAAGCATTCTGAGCTGTTTTGCTGCAGGGGTATTCATGGCCACATGTCTTTTGGATCTACTCCCTGAAACAATAGAGGCTTTGGAACCACATATCAAGGAGTCTAAAAAATTTGAGCATTACCCTGTGGCTCAGTTTATAATGGTTATAGGACTAATGTTAATGTTAACGGCCGAACAATGTGTTATAATATACCAGGAGAAACGAAAACAAATTAGCCATTCAAATGATACGGTGAGAACAGAAGCGATTAAAACCGAAAGAAACACCCTTATATCAAACAAAGATGAGTTTCGCATATCATATAGTTCATCAGGCATTGGAACAGACGACTCTAGAGAGAAAAAAACAAATGACTTCGAGAACAGTACTGTAACCCTGTCGGTGAAGACATCTGAAACAAATAGTTCCACTCTGAGATCTATCTTGCTATTGGTAGCTTTATCTCTACATTCTATTTTCGAGGGAATAGCAGTCGGATTACAGAAACAAACCACTGATGTAGTTGAAGTTTTTATTGGCCTCAGTATTCACAAAGTAATTCTTGCCTTCAGTCTAGGTATGACATTAACCCAAAGCAAACTTTCGTTTTGGGCACAGATACGATCTCTTCTTACTTTTGCCTTAGCTTCGCCGATCGGGATTGTCATCGGTTTGCTGATTGTGGAATATGGGCAAGGAACGACATCGTCATTGGTCGAGGGGATCTTGCAAGGGTTAGCATGTGGAACATTCTTGTATGTCACATTCTTTGAAATACTCCAACATGAATTAAGCATACCAGACATTCGGTTGATTAAAACTTTTTTTCTATTTCTTGGATTTATATGTATGTCAGGTTTATTTTTGATCCATGACCATGAATGATACTAATTGTTAGATTCTTATTTATGTAATTTTTAACTGTTATTTGATTATTTAATTTACCTAGATTTAAACTTTAGATTGTTTAAACTTTAAATAATCAATGGAATTATTATCGTACCACATACAAAGAACAAATACATCGAGTTGAAAGTGTAAAGAAATATCTTTTTTTTTATTATATAAGTTTATGTTATTTTGTGTTTTTTCTCGTGATTCATCTGAGGATATGTGTGTAACAATCACTTGTCAAAAAAACTTTTTCGTTTTTGAAGAGGTGGTATGATGAAATTGTAATATGTATTGACGCTTTGTTATTATATATCACCACAATGTGTTTTTTGTTTGTGTATTGCTTATGTGTTTGTGATTAGTGATCGTCAAATGTTTGAACTGTAGTTCGATAAAATATTTTATTTTGATTTTTGTCATAAAATGAAACTATTGTCATAAAAACATTGTCTTGAAATAAAATCACTTTTATATAAGAATAAGTATGATGTCAGTTTTGTTTTTTATATTTTTTAATATTAAGGATATCGTAGTACTCATACATGTGTACATTTTCAACTTCATACCCTCCTCCTATGGTCGCCATGTGTGTTGACTGACAGAAAAAAACACAAACTTTTTACTAGATATCATAAGGATCATTCCCCTCCTCTGTTTAGCTGTAAATAGTTTGGTAGTTTCAGAAAAGATGATCTTTGAAAAGGTTTACGAAGACGAGGAAGAACGCCAAGTTATGTTATAGTTCACAAGGCCCTATGGGCCAGTTGAGCAAAAAATGGAGAATTATATTGAAACAGAAGTATAAAAGATACAAAACGTTTTATTTCTTGGTACACTATGTGCACATAATTCTCTTTATAACAGTTAGTCAGAGATTTGTCTGAAGTCTGACGGCCTTTTTAGAACTCGATTGGACCGTGTCAGAGTCTAGGGCTATATCAGTGGTGTAGGAATGGACTGAAAAAGGGAGGGTGTCAACAATAAAAATAGATTTTCTAAGTCTAGTAGTGTAGTAACTAGTTAGAATAAAAATAAATAGATGTGGTCACATGATTACTGCCAATGAGACAACTATCAACCAGAGTTAAAATGAAGTGGATTTACAATGTATACAATTATAGGTCACCGTACTACCTTCAACAATAAAAAAACATAACGTATAGTCGGCTATGAAAGGCCCCGACATGAAAAATGTGAAATGGTTCAAACGAGAAAAAATTAACGGCCTAATTTATAACGATATAATTTACGAAAAACAAATATGGCAGACATGAACCAACGACAACCACTGAATTACAGGCTCCTGACTTGGAACAGGTACATAAACAATATGGCGGGGTTAAACATATAAGTGCGCGCTCGACCCTCCCCTAACCTGACACAGTGGTGTAACAGTACAACATAAGAACAAACTGTAAAAATCAGTTGTAATTTGCTCAACTCAATAGATCGGTAGGAAGCACAAAACACAACTAACATGTGATACAAAGCACCGATATAAGAGTACTCGTAGTTTCTGAAAGCTAGTTTAAAACTAGTTACAACTAAATAATAAATCATGTTCTCCCAGACTAAAGTATCAATCAGTACACATCCAATGGATTAAGTACAAAGACGTCATAAACAGTCTGAGAAACGCATGACCTTGTGTTCAGTAATTACATAATACTATACTACAAAGAATATACATTATTTTTTACCATTATTTAAAGCATTTGTTGATAGAAATTCAGGTGACTGTGGTTTGAACATACAGTACCTTGCTGTCAGCTAATATGTGGCGCGCAAGGGTTTTGAGTTACTGAAAAGATAATTAGAATCACTAGACTTCTAAAATTTCAGTCAGGTATAAAGTATTGGAATGTATATACTAGTATAGCTAAACATAGACCATAAGGGTAAAATGCATTTTAAAATTGTCTTATAACTTGAAAACTATAACAGATAAAGAAAATCTGATATGACACAAATGCTTAGAATGTCACGTTCTACCTAATTTCTGTTTGCATCTGAATTATCAGACTACTCCTTAAGGAGTTATAGCCCTTAAATACCGATTTTGACTAATTCATGTTCTTAAAATTGAGAATGGAAATGGGGCATGTGTCAAAGAGACAAAAAACCGACGAAAGAGCAGAAAATAGAACAAGGCCACCAATGGGTCTTCAACACAGCGAGAAAATACCGCACCCGGAGGCGGGCTTCAGTTGGCCCCTAAACAAAAATGTGTACTTGTTCAGTGAAAATGGACGTCACACTAAACTCCGAAACATATAAATGTTACTCTGTTTTCAATCATGATTGTTGATTAAAGAATTACATGTGTATCAAATATATAAGAGATATTATAAGATTTTTGTACAGTTTATACTACTATTTTGACTTTTTAAAATCCATTGAAACTCGGCAATTGATGAAACATTTTTTTTTGTTCAATACATTCATGGGACGACAACACAATATTCCAACAGACATTTACAAGACAACATATGGTCTTCAATAATAGCCAATGTTTGGTCCATATGTCAAGGACTTGTGTGAATCGCAACGAGTGTAGACACTTTGTAAATGACTATACAGCTTTTTTTGGGTATGTAACTATGATCCAAAATGATGTGCAAAAGACGTTTTATTTTATTTTGGCTACAGAACTCGAAAGATTGAAAAAGACATAAATTGAGTTTGAGGAGTGGTCATCATGAACTGTTTATGATTTTGTTGTTTGAAATCTTTTTTACATCCACCAATATTAGAGATGGAATGGTGTCATATCAGAATGTTAGTACTTTGACCTAGCTTTCAGTAACTGCAAGCATTCTTTGGTACAGAATAATATTTTTTTTGTTGTTGTGTTTGTGTATGTGGTTTTATACCTATTGTACCGTTTTTAGAGTTTACGCGTATTTTTCCTGTGCTGATTTATTGCGTAAAAATAAGGCGATTTTATTTGATTGCCAATAGACAAGGACATGCATGGATGTAAATAACTACAGGTCACTGTACGGCCTTCAACAATGAGCAATATCCATATCTTATCATAAGCTACAAAAGTCCCCAGAACAAACTCAAAATCTAAATAATTTAAAAGAGAAAACCAACGACCTGATTTAAGCTAGTAACACTGAACGAAAAACAATTATGACAGATTGAAACCAACAATAACCACAGCTCTATAAACCAAATCACCGTGAAAATTTTGATTTGATATCCCGTTTTTATTCAGATTTTTATATATTGGTATCTATATGAAAGAATTTAGTAACAACTGTTTTATGGAATTGCTTATTCCACAATTAAGAATTTTCAGCAAAATTTCTAATTTTTATTTTCAACCCAGATCTTATGAACCTCGCAGAAAGTTTGCAAACCTATTGAGGTTGTTCACTTAAGATTTCACCCAAGTTTTACATGTTAGATTATCACATCAGAAGCGCCTTAGATAATTGCTTCGTTTAATTTAAACACGAGAAAATTAATGATGTTGATTTTTGATTGGTGAATTGGGCTTATATTAAGATTGTGAAGGACAATAACACATTTTCATTTAAAGACACCCAAACCATGTATCTAAAATGTTTATCAATTTTAACCCTTTTTTAATGTAATGCCAAATTTCTGTGAGTACATTTTACCATAACCTGAGAAATGAATTATGACAATGGTGTCCATGCCAATCGGATATATACACATAACAATCATTCCATACACCATATATAGTCGACCTATATTGCTTACAGTATCCGCGAAATAGACAAAACCATGAAAACTTAATATTGACCAATGGACCATTAAAATGAGATCAAGGTCAGGTTAACCCTGCCAGACAGACATTTACCCCTTACCAATCATTCCACATACAAAATATAGTTGGTCCATTGCTTATGGTATCTGATAAACATACCACAACTCTAGAAGAATGCACACGCTGAAATGTTTCGCCTGCTTTACTGACCATTGATTTCATGTTGATAGTCCTAAATATAAAGTTTTACTACAAGTATCACATAAACTTAACATGACCCAGTAAAATTAGTCAAGGTCAGATAAACTAAGACAGAAATACATGTACACTTGCAATCATTCCATACACTGAATATACTTGACCTATTGCTTATAGTATACAAGAAACAGACCAAACCATGAAAACTTTATATTGACTAATGGACCATGAAAATGAGGTAAAGGTCAGATGATACCTGCCAAACAGACATGTACATCTTACAATCATTTTATTGATCAAATGTAGTTGACTTATTGTATATAGTATCTAAGAAACAAACTTATCCAGGAAATCTTACCATTGACCAATAAACCATAAAAATAAGGTCATGGTCAGATGATAACTGCAAGACAGACATATACACCTTACAATTATTCCATACACCAAATATAAGTGACCTATTTCTTATAGTTTAAGAAAAACAGACCACAACACAAAAACTTAGATTGAGCAATGAACCGTAAAAATGAGGTCAAGGTCAAATAAAAACTGCCAGACTGACATGTACATCGTAAAATATTTTCATACACCAAATATAGTTGACCTATTGCATACAGTACTAGAAAAACAGACCAAAACACAAAAACTTAATTTTAACCACTGAACGATGAAAATGAGGTCAAGGTCAGATGACACCTGCCAGTTGGACATGTATACTTTACAATCATTCCATACACCAAATATAGTAGACCTATTGCTTATAGTATCTGAGATATGGACTTGACCACGAAAACTTAACCTTGTTTACTGATCCATGAAATTAGGTTGGGGTCAAATGAAAACAGTATGACAGCAGGAAGACCTTGCAAGGTACGCACATACTAAATACTAAAAATCTTAACTTTTTTCAAGTAGTCACTGAACCATGAAAATGAGGTCAAGGACAGTGGACATATGACAGACGGAAACTTCATAACATAAGGCATCTATATACAAAGTATTAAGCATCCGAATCTTCTACCTTCTGAAATATTAAGCTTTTAAGAAGTTTGTCAACGCCGCCGTTGCCGCCGCCGAATCACTATCCCTATGTCTCGCTTTCTGCGACAGAAGTCGCAGGCTCGACAAAAAAACTTTAAATATTATTGAACATATTTTCCATAGAATATTTTAAATTTTACATTTTTTTTCTGCAACGAATGATATTCTTAAACAAATGTCGAGCCATTAAGAGGCATTTATAATTTGATCAATTTTTTGTAGATAAACTATTCTATTGCTATAACCTAAACGTTCATGAATCTGTGATTCTGTCAATTTTCACAAAGAGTGAAAGGCTTGTTGAAGGTGTCTGTGATGTGAAATAGTTCAAGGGGAAATTTGTTCACGCATGCTTTTGCAAAATTAAAAGTTCTATTTTCTTGTTAAATTAATTTGGGTCCAAAAGACAACTTTGGTTTTATCTAACATTACCTTTTTTCTAGTGGCAGTACAAACCCCCGCTCTGCATCCCTGTTTATCCATTACATCACATTT